CTGGAAGTAAATATATAGTACAAGATGGGAAACCTGCCTGACCATACAACATAGCAGCTGATTTACTGAATCAGAATTTGTCTACCTGGTACCAGCATCTTGTCTCTAACAAAAGCTCATTCAGTGACTTCAGAGGAAGCTGTGATAGATTTTCTAATAAGCCTATTGTGATTTAACCATTGTGATCAAGATTACGATGCAAGTTTTGAAGTTTACTGGCCTGTTCATGTTCAGGAAGCCATCTGTGGCTCTCCAAGTTCTTTTTCATAACTAGAAGTATTTTTTCAGGGAAAAATGTTTGTCATCATAAAAGATATTTTGCAAATATATTGCTGGTTAATACTAGGAAATACACTTTACAGGAAAATCTTGTGATTTTTAAATCTAATCATCTAAGTTTTGGTTTCATTGTTAGGAGACACTAAGTTGCCTTGCATTCCCCCAAAATATCAGATTTGATTGGATGCATTTAAAGAATTAGATGCTCTTTCCCACCCTAGCAATTTAGTAGCTCTCCCAATGCCTATAGTGTGATGGCTCCTATGAGTGCTGTGTAGCACCATTCCTCTCCAGGGTTTTTAAGTTTCAGAGAGAACAGACTATATATAGTCTCTATAGACTTTTCCTGGGTTTCTGGGAGGGTTAGCCAGAAAAAAAATATTCACTGTTCCTTTGTCACATCCAAACCCATAAAAGATCTTTTCTCTTGTTTCTCAGAAACAGCAGAAAACTAGCATTCTATCAATACCAACAGTTAGTACCCTCTGGACTGCAATCCAAATTTGAAAAAACACAAAGAACTTCTACTGCAAACAAATCATATCTTATAAATTACTCTACAGTAAAGGCAGTCTTTTGCCTTTCCTACCATATGTTAGCTCAGGATCCTGTGGACCTTCCAACTGGAGATATTTAGTGACTCAGTACCTGTCATCCAGACTTTTTGTGCTGCTCCATATGATCCTTCCACTTTGCAGTAAAGTCTGTGTGAAGGGACGTCTCTAGGAGATGACTATCCCAATTCTGTGCTCTTACTACTGGGTGAATCCTAGATGGGATCATGACTTGGAAGGCCACAGAGAAAAGCATGCCAAGGGATCAAAGTCCACCCAAAATATTGATTTGCTCTTTATTTACAAGAGTTGAAGCCGTTACTTTAAACCATGCTGCCTAAAAATCTACATAGGAGTGCAGAACCTGAATTTCCCCACATATTGGGTAATTATTATAGCAATAAAGGCCTTCCTGATACCCATTACCCTCTACTGTGTATTTCAAACTGTATTTCTTACATCACTTGCCAAAATGCAATTTCTGGTGTATCGTCCTGCTTCTTACAGTTTCTGAAACAATTATTTAAAAGTTTGAATTGTGTTTTCTCGTCACAGCACTTTTCTCTGACAAATTAAGGTAGTGTTTTACTACTTATTTAATCTTGTTGCTTATGGATAGCAGTGCTAAACTCTAAAGATCTAGCTTATGTATTAAGAGTCATGGAATCACAGAATTGTTCAGGTTGGAAAAGACCTTTAAGATTATTGGGTTCAACCCTTAAACCAGCATTGCCAAGTCCATCACTAAACCATGTCCCTACCCATCTTCTAGGTATCACCAGGAATGGTCACTGAACCACTTTCCTGAGTAGCAAATCTGAATCCTTCCTGAGAAGTGAGCTTCAAGTCTCAAATACATACCCGGAATCCTGGAGCCACCAGTATCCAGGAGGAAAAAACATCACTGCTGGACAGAATGAAAAGGACAGAATAGTCTGAAGTAACTCAGGAAAATAATGTGCCCAGCCCCTGTCAACACACTTAGCCAGGAGCTAGAAAGTAGAAGAAACCTGGAGTTGTAGCAGGGACCTCAAGCATACAACAAAATGACTTTATTTAAGACTTGTAATCCATAACCTGTAACTGTTAGTATGCAAGCAGTATAAGGAAAATGTTGTCTTTTTTTTTTTTTCCCCCCATTCTGCTAAGTCACCATAATTCAGTTAGTCTTCAGTAAAATATGATTTTTTAGACCAGGATAAAATTAATCCAGATTGGTAGCTGATGTGCTGCTGTAAATGTGGCTGCACTAACAAGGTAAAATTTTACTAGGAATTTATTCTCTTGGGATGGAACAATAACGTCACAATTCTGAAAGAGGCTTGTAAATGCGGTGTAATATTAGCATCATCAATTAGTAAAAGATGCCTTTCCAGTAGTTTTACCTAAATTGATAATGATGAGGTGGAAGATACAAGGAGAATTTGTTATTAGCTGAGAAACAAGAATGCACTTTTTCCCACCAGTTCCCCAAACAAGCACTTTTTTTAATATTCTAGCATCATGCTTTCTAGCTACCAATTAAAGCAGTCCAGTCCATTTTCTTTGCAAAACCAAGTAGTGACCCAGCATAGGTATTCACAGTTCAAACTGTTTCTTCACAGGAGTCCTAGACTGTCGATATTTTTTTCTTGACTTAAACAAACATAAAGTCCCATAACAGAATGCTTCCTGAAAGTGAGAATTCATGAGCTCTGTAGAAATGTATGAATTTAAATAATCCAGTAGTAAAATTTTTAATCCATAATTTCTTTAAAACAGCATAACTATTGACAACACGAAATGTGATGTCGTATCTAAAATCAAAATGAAATCTGTAAGAAGTTAAATAAACTGACATACAGTCCATCTGTATTCTCACTCAGAAGAGACAACAGATATAAACAATTGATAAAAATTAGACAAATGGAAGAACAACTAGTATAACCATAGTATTTGAAAGCAATTCAGAGTTAAATTGTTGTAGATTTCCAGAAAAAGCATACAGAATCTTTATAGTCTGTGACAATATGATCTCTCATCCTGCAAAAGCTTCTGAGATGCTCATCATATCTTTATAAATAAGAATCATTGCATCTCTGGAAAATAATCAGTCTGTAGTTAGATCAATATCAGTTTTGGGGCTTTATGATAACAAAGAGAAATGAAAATTTAAGGGATGTGTTACGTGTTTTTTATGTTACTTGTCCTATTATGATACATAGCACATTAAAAAACCATGGATGACATCAAATCCATTTTAACTTATTCTGAGTTTTCCCTGCATGCTAACATGAAAAGCCCTTTGCAAATACTTGTAGTATTTTCAGTCTTTATAATCCACAAATTAAATTAAATTTTCCTTGGTGATTAATTGTCATAATTGGAAGTAAAAATTATATGAGTAGACAATAACTCTCTTACAATAGAATGGCACTAGTCAATGAATTTAACATGTGAGAAACTTCAGTAATAAATTGCAGATGTTGAAATAAATTAAAGTTTTCCTGAATTAAGAAGGTCACAAGGAGGAGATAACAGAAATGTTTAATTGTGGTGGAAGTGAATTTACTTATTACCCAGTCTCTGTGGTGACCTATGTGGTTATTTTTGCAAGAGTCTATGGTTATTAGACACATGAAAATACAAAGAAATTAAATATGAAGAAAAATTCACCATCATTGTGTTTTGGGTTTGACAGCTCGTTGCATCAAAGATGTTTTACAGATAGTTTAAGTCAATATATGAATAAACCAGTTGTACAGATAACATTTAGGTTAATTTGACTCTCAGTTTCGTAGTACATGTATTCTCAGTACTTGAGGATTAAATTAATTATTCACAATATTTTGTTCCTTATCTGGAACACATGACTGCAGAAATGAAATACGTAAAGAAAAGTTAAGCCACCACAGTTTGGTTCTTCATAGTAACAGTTTTTTCTTTTTCTGAGTTATTTTAGTGTTGGACAAAGCTAGTATTTAAGTGAGCATTTCTGTTTCAGTTATACTATTTCTAAATATCCTTATTATCTGATGCTAACCTTTGGAAATTTGCCTCATTTCTGCCAAGATATTTCTAAGTTTGTTATGAAATCTTTATTTCCTAATAAATATGGGCTTTCATCTGGAAGTTAGAGTCAAGTTATATGATGAAGGTCATGGCTTTGAAACCCAAAACAAAGCATTTTAGTACTGTATTACTCTATGAAGGTAGTAAGTGTGCTTCTTCACTCACTCTTTTACAAATGTAAATGTGTATTGAATGGAATACCTAAATTAATGTTCTTGGGGTTTTTTGTTTAAAAAGACTATAAATTCTGCAAATTTATGGAGCAAGATGTAGGTACCAATAAATATAGCTACTGTTGGTTACATATAGAAATAAATATAAGTATACATATTAATTAAACTAATGTGGTATCACAGAATAGAACTTTATACTTGGAGGGATGGGATTTCTGATGATCTGTAGCTCCTGTGGGAAGACATTTTGCAGTCTCAGACTAACCGCAAGAAAGCCTTTTTTCCCCTTTTTTGAGGATTTCTTTTGGTCAGAGGACTGCTGTCTTGCTTTAGTCGGTCTTTTAGGTAAGCGGATTACATAGTTTTAATATTTTAACGGACTTTGAACATCACTTAAACTCTAGGGAAAACCACTGTGGCCCATGGAGATGCTCAGATTTAAGAATGCACCAGCTAAGAACCCTAATTATAAGAATGCACATCTTATTAAGGAAAAATGCACTATACTAGCCAGTTTTTAGAATGAAAATGTGTCCAATTACTGCATATAGCCTAGTCAAGTAGTGGATGTAATGAGGCTAGGACATCACTCATTCAACCATTTTTGGATAACCGTGGTCTGACCTCATGGCTGACCCTGCTTTAAGGAGGAGGTTGAGCTAAAGACCTCCTAAAGTCCCTTCCAACCTGAATTTTCCTGTGATCTTATGATCGTCCACCAGAATTGGAAGAAGTTTCTTAGCAACAAGCAACTGAAGGCATCGGTAATGGATGAAATTTAGTGTCAGGGAAAAATTCAGGAGTTCTAATCTGTGAATTGATTTGACCAATACTATGTATGTCTCCCTTAAAGCAAAGGAAACTGTACATTCAGTGTGAATCCTTTGAAATGCTTTTTCTCTGCACATCTGTCAGGCTCTTCATTTCCCTTCATGCAGATTGCTTTCTCTCTATTTCTGATCTGATTTCATCCATTGACTGGTAGGTGATATTGACGTAGATGTAGGTGGTGAAGGATAGATAGCACTACAGCATCATCAATACGCTGCTCATCCTTCCTTCTGTGATATTTTTTCCAAATCATTCGGTGGGTGCATTCAGAAATGAGAAGGCATAGAAAGTTCTGGAACTTACTATATTGTCTGGTAATAGAGGAGGCACATTGAGAAATTACTTTGTTTTAGTAAATTAACTGGAAATTCATGCATCTCTCTTAAGGATAGCTATTACTTATAGTCAATAGTATAGTCAATGATGGATTATGACAATAGCACCAATTCTGTGGAAACATACAACGATTAATATGAATGTCAACCCCGCTCCACAAGGTAGAGGAAACTACATGGCAGTGCCACTGGCCTGTCCCACTTGCACTGAGCCTGTAACGTTATTCATTACATCCCTTTCTTTTGGCTTTTAAATAAGCTTTTCAGGAGTTTGTTTGAAAAAGGGAAGGTAAATGGTGGGTCGTAGTTCGCTTGAATTAGTATATTCTCAGTGCATTCTTGCCGAACTTTCATTTTGTCATTCCTTCATTTTTGAAAGAGAAAGGAAAGCTTTTTTCCCTGAAGTGATATGTTCACTATTCCATTCAGTACTTACAAATATTACTTACTACCGATATGTAAAGCAGAAAGACACTAGTGAGAGAGACAAATATTGGACTGAAACGGTTTTGTTGCACAATAGCACAATACTGCCTGGAGAGACAATGTAAGGAACTGTGAAATGTTAGTGAAAATACTCAATTTCAATTTCCTTAATACTCTTTCACTGTTTTACTTAGAACAGAATGACAGTTTCACATAATGGTGAATGTTTGGCTCTGGTGTAAGCTGAAAGTTGTCAGGATTGATTAAAAAAAGTAATTATTAATAACTCCTTGATGTAGACCTTCCCAGATGCAATGTAGGCTGATAAAAAGTAATCTTGCCCTATAATAAAGTTTCATTGTAGCCTTTGAGAAAATCCTTGCTTTAACATTCTCCTGTTTATGCACAAATTTGTCACAATTTCTCTTCAATGTAGAATAGCAGTAAATAAAAAAAAAATCTGCTTATGAAATGCCACAATATACAGAGTGTTTACAAAGTCACTATTAGAGTGATGGTTGAGGCCAGTGTACAAGAGTTCAGTAGGTTCTTGCTTCTTAGTTTATGTGCTTAATACTGTTTATCTCTAGCAAGGAAATGAATGTGTTGGAATCAGAGATTTCTGGTCAAGCCTGAATCACTAATTGATTTTCTTATCATGGAGAATAATCTTTGGCCATTATTTTAATATGAAAATAATCTCTTTAAAAGGTAGGCTGAACTGGACTTTTCTGAATCTTGATCTCTAGAACTAGCATTTTATCTAGATTCACCTGTCTGCTTGGTTTGAGTCAGAAGTTAGTTTAAATTGCAGGGTGCCAAGCATGGAACTAAGAAGGCAAATGCATAAACTTCTTGAGAAGTACTGTTTGTTTGCAAAATCAGACAGTTCACTAGCATGAGCTAAAGGTATATGTGATTTTATCAATGATTTAATATTAAGAATTTGAATATGTAGGATGCATGCTCTCATATAAATAACGAAGTGTGGAAGTATTTGAACTGTACAGAGGATGTTAGAAATCCCTCTTTGTTTTTATTTGTATATTTGTTTGTTTGTTTGTTTGTTTTTCAAAACCTTCATAGGAACAGCTTAGGTAAAAGTATCTGATACATCAACCTGATCTTCATGTAGCAATTTTACCTTGGTTATCTCAGTGTGAGATCAGTTATTTCCCAGGTTTGCAAGTCCTAACCGTGCAAAGGAATGCAATAAGTACTTGAATAACCAGACCAATTTTTGTGCTTGCTTTTCCTATGCGATTGTTCTGTCTTCACGCTTACTAAAAATTGTTATGGTTTCAACCATTTTTTTCGCTTTAACTGAAGAAACTTTGAAGGTCTTAATAGTGAAGCAGTAAAATAGTGTATTTTTGTTAGAACTACCTAAGGAAAAGTTAGAGTAATTGTATCAACTTGCAAATAATTTTGTGACAGAAATTTCAATTATGACAAATATTTTGGTTGGGATTGTGAAATGGTTAACACACATGTTTCATAGAATCTCAGATTATGTTTTGGAATTTGAAACGTTCCTAGTGTGGGCTCCATACGTATCCAGGTTTCTGTTAAGACTTATGATGTTGCCTCTTCACTACAGATTTAAGCATATCAGGTCCAGAAATAATCATCTTTTTCTACCCACAATGTTACCAGTCAATCTTGTTTTAAGAATAATCCCCACCTTTCTGTCATTAGCCAGTAAAGTAATTAATAGTGTCCTAATGCCTTACGGAGTAGGTTTCAGATAATTTATTGTTCGCCAAGTTTTATATTGTTAGGCTATACTAATCAAGTCAGAAGTATCAGAGGAACAGTTGTCTGCAAACTGCCATTATGCACCTGCCTGCACAGTGCAGAAGTATTTTCAAATGGATGAGACTGTCTTGAATCATAATAAAAACTTCAAACAGCCTCTACAGAAGTCAGCAGCTTTAAATAAGTGTAATTTTAGCATGAGAGAGGAAATGTGCCATGAACCTGAATTTCATAAAAACATAACATTTCTCTATCTTGCATACTACACATGAAATGTGTAATATACTGTGGACAAAAGACCTGTATACACAGCAGTTTTTGTTTGAGTGCTGTGGTCAATGTCTTAAATTGTTCTGTGGTGACCCTCCCACAAACATTTCTACACAGTTATGGATTCATTAATTTCAAATGTTCACCTATAGTGTAAAATGTTGGAACATAATCAACAATATCTTTTGAATCAAGGAGAACAAATCAGAAGAAAATTTAATTATGTGGACTCTCTGTGCTACACTTTTCCTTGCAAATAGAAGTGTCCTGTGGTCTGTGCTGCAGGTGTGACAGTGGTGGTATGTTTTCCCTTTCTTCATATGACTGGTAAGCAGTCCTTTGGTTTTATATTGTTTATTTAATAGCAATATTAATAACAGCATTAGTATATTTAATACAGTCTAGGTTATTAACATCTCAAGTGCATGATCTTGTGTGAGCCCTGAAGTTCTGATGTGTTTACATACCATATGCAGATTTATTTCTATGTCAGGGTAGGTCCTGTGAGGAGGAATTGTGAGCTGTCTTGTTTATTCCTGGTTTGATGTTTCTTTTTTCTCCAATGTTTCTACAACTGTAATGGTGCAGGGTTCATGAATTTTGAAGCAGTCAGAGTATATTTTCTCTTAGCCTTGATGGATGCTTACTTTTGTTCCTTACCCCAAACCAAGCCCCTGTAGAACTGTTGGAATACCATGTGTCTTTTATGCCATGCAAGATATGAAAATGTGTTACTTCTGGTCAGGAAGCAATAACTATATTGTCCATACAAAGATGGATATATAGCAAATATTCATAGAAGACAGCTGCATTGTTCCCAAGTCATAAGTTTTTTAATTACATCACTGTAAAAAAAAAAGATCAAAGATAATGTGATTTAATTTGATCACTGAGTCATCCAAATAAGCATGGAGCTCTATTGGCGGATTTTCTGAGGTAACAGATTGCAGCTGGTATTTGAGGAAAAGTGTTTAAAAATAATGCCCATAATAACACTTTAAAGTATTAAAATAATTTCTGTAGTTTCCTAGAGTTTGATGGAGCTTAAGCATTGGCATAATGATGTTTAACTGAGGCTGTTCTTAAGATATTTGCAAGCACCTCACTTCAGGGTGTAGTTTTGTTGAATCACTCATTCAGCATGCCGCTTTCATTCGTTTCTTCCCACTTTGTAGCCTCCTTTATTTTGCATAACCTATGCAGCATTCTATTGTCAATCAACCTCCATTTTGTACAGCACACTCTCCAGCTTTCCTTTTACTTGAGTGAATAGTGCCATTCATTCACATCATACTTTTATGTGGATACTCTTCTAAAGCAAGGATCAAGGAGTTGGCTTTTCATGTGCAAGAACTGTAAGACAAACAATTTGGTATGCATGCAAGCCAAGAAGGTGGAGGTGAAGAAGGGAGGGGACAATAAAATTTTTAGACAGGAGCATGCAATGGAGAAATCAAAGCTAGTGTAATCGTAGTAATCTGCTACTTGTCATGCTTCTCCAGCAAGGCAAACAATCTCAACTGTTTTGTCTTTCAGGTATTCAGAAGTTATGAAAACATTGCCCTACACATTTACATGTTTCATTTTTTTTGCATTCTTCTGAAAGAGACCAAGATTTAAGTTTTTACCTCTAGTAATATTTTTAATTCTAAGATACTGTTATCCTTGCTTACAGCTGTTATCAGCTGTTATATGCCATGCTCAGCATAGCTCAGGTACAGTCATAGTCTAGAATTCCCTTAGGGCAAGGCAGAATGAGATCCTCAGGTAAAGGAAGTAAGAGTGATAGAGGACCAGGGCTTCTAGGAAAGGATTGTGCGAAGAGAGGGACTAATCACAAGCACTAGTGAAGATTAAGCAAAGAATTTCTGCATGCTGGTATTTGTGACCTGGAAAGGGAAGGGGAATTAAGTACTAGAAAGGACGAGAGTGTGAAATGGGCTGATTCCTCCTTCCTGCCAAACACAGAAGAACACTAAGTGTTGATCCCACAGGGTCTTTGTTTAAAATTTTAATATGGTCCATAAAATTTACCTAATTTACAAGCAAAAATCTCTCCATCTTCCGCTATGGCAGTACAAGATATTATCTCTTATCTCATGGGAAAAATCATTGTGATTCATGAATGCCTTTTCTGATGCCACCTTAATGATCAGCATCATCTTCTAACTTATCCCTTTAGTGAAAGTCATCAACTTATTGCTCATAGAAACATCTGATAAGGTATAATTTAGTGTACTTCTTTCGATGGTCTATAATTTTTAATCCTTATAATTCTTTAGAACTAGCTAAAGCTGATCTCTGATTGTAGTTGAGTACTGTGATTAAGCAGGATTTAATGTTGGGAATGTATGTTGTTTACTTCCAAGGTGTTTATTATGCTGTCAGTTGGTGGGTCTACCCATACAGCATTGGTACCTACTAATCTAAGAATTAGTTTCTTCCATTTCCTCAGATCTCTAATCTTATAGCATGGGGTTTACAAATTAACAGGATGATATGATTCTCTTCAGTTAAGGTTTTCTAAGGAAAACTCTTAAGTACAGGTATAGAAAGATCAGTAGATAGATACAAGGTGCATGACTAATTAAATTAACTAATAAAAATATTCATAATTCTAATTATGTTACATATCCATAGCTGGTGTTAGCAGTTAAGTACAATGCTCACCAGTAAGTCCAACTCTTTTAGCTTCTGTTTGTCCCAGCATCACCTCTTAGCGCAGCTGGATGATAAAAAGAGCGTGGAAAAATCGCTGGTATGCTACATAAAATTCATATACCATGAGCAACATCTGTGCAATGACCCTAATGTGGTGATGTTTTCTGGCACTTCACTATATCAATGCAAATGTATGAGACAGCTAACACCTAACATAAAGTGAGAAACGCGTATTTCTGGATAGTAATTGAAAACGATAAATTTAAAAAAATTATGTTGCTGGATTGTTTTACAGTAATTATATTACCCTATGCTGGTTTAATTATCTCTGTAGATATTTTCAGTTGAAAGTTCAAATCTCCTCTCAGTTGCTCAGCAGCTAAGTCATAGTAAGGGCTATAAAGTAGAATTTTTCTGCATAAATAGGTTACAATGACAGTTTTTTCAGTGATTTGAACTTCAGTTTTTTATTAAATGAAAAATAAGAAGCAATTCTCAGCATAAAAATACACTTTCTTACTAAGAGAAAATGAAATTATATTTTCCACCTCCATGTCATTATAAGAAATATTTTTTCATAATATAATAATTTTTCATAACTTTGCTTTAAAATAATATTACATATATATACATCTTGTATATACATTTTATATATTTCTGTGTAATGACTGAGCAGTAAACTTTGAAACATTGTTAAGCATGAGATCATGTCATCAAAACAATATCTTTGTTTGAAAATATTCATATCTGTTGTTGAATGAGACAGTCTCTTCAATCTTATAAATATCATATTTAGTAAAGAAAAATCCACAGCAAGTAGAAAAATGTCTTTATCCATAAGCAGTCAGATGAGAAATGGATTTTTATTCCGTCAAATCCTTTTAGTCAGTGAAACAGCACTTTCATGCATACTGCACTCAAGTGATAATTAATATAGTCTAATTCCGAACATGATGCCTGATTTGATGTACTGTCATCAATACCCCATGTTAAAATCAAACCTTGACAGGGACTTAACACCCTGGAACAGGTCATCGTATGA